TCCCCCCTGCCCCCTTTGACCTACCCCCACGAGTGGGCCGCGCGCTCCACCCTCTCGACTTACCACCCCCTCGCGCGGGTAGAGGCGGCTCTACCCCGGGGCGGTGTCCCTGCAGGCGGGGGCGTGTGGCGTGGGGGCGGCCAGGGGGGCGTAGACACCATACGGTCGGTACAGTACTCGGCCGCGCCCCCGCCGCGCCCCCATGCCTTCACGTGAAGTCGCGCTGCATGGTATGCGCACCTGCTATCTCCGTTCGCCCTTCGCCCCTCTGGTATCGCTTCGCGGTGCGCGCTGCGGAGCGTGCCCGTGGAACGGTATTGCGGTCCGCCACGTCTCGGCTCATCGCATCCGGCTCGGCCCCGGCCCGGCCCCTTCCGGTGCGCTCTCCCGTTGAACAGATTAGCACCGCTCGATTCTCAGAATGTCATTTGGGAGGTGGAGGCGCGCGACGCGTGCCAATCTAGTTAGCGTCAACGTTTGGGAGGCTTGAAAGAGACAGAGAGCGCGCGTGAGATCTGGGTGAGGTCAGCGCTCGCCCGGCAACCGGCTCGCGAGCAAAAAGAAACAACATAAACAAAAAGGCGCGTGCGATAATAGGCCAGGTTACGGCGAAGAAGGCTGGCGCGGTGCAGGCGAGAGACAGAGGAGGGGGAGGAGGAGGCAAGCAAAACTCGCAGAATGCAGGCCACCTTCTCCCCCTCCCCGCGACTGGCTGGAGCTGGCTGGAGGCTGAGTCGAGGCGAGACGAGGTGCTGGCCTCCATCCGCCTCGCTCCACACGTGGCGCTGTTTACAAACAGTCTGGAACGTTCAGAAGGACGCTTTCACTCTCGCCTGGACTGGACTGGCCGTCGCACCTGCACTGGGTCACATTTTGTTTGCGAACTTCGACAGTTCTCGTTCTCGTATGTTGGTTCAGAGTTACCGCATCCGCATCCACGTTTGCATTCCCCTTTTATTTTATTTTTTGCCAACACTTTCGCGCGAACGAGTCTTGGAGACGTTCTCTCCGACGCTTGGACTTCGGTCCCTCGGCGTGAGTTCTCGACATGCCTCCGGTCCGCCTCTTCCGACCGGAACGACAGTTTTGCGCGTTTCTAATCTTTTTCCTGTCACTCCACCGCGCCGCCGCGCCTTCGCCTACCCGGCAACTAATTCAACTTTTGCAAAATTGCGAGATCCTCTGCCGACATCCTCTTATTAGCTATAATTTCAGTTTGCAAGCTGGGTTGCAAGCGAGTGGCGGTGGTGGTGGAGGGGCTCCTGGTTCCTGAGCCTGAGCCGCCAGCCGCGACGCACACCACGAAGGTCGTTTGCCTGGCCTGGTGCCTGGCCTCTCGCTCGTCTCGGGCCGTGTCCTGTCCTCCCCGGCCCCGGCCCTCACGGGTCGTCGGCAGCGTTGCCAGGGCCGGAAGCGGCCCGACGGCCTGCGGGAGCTCCTCGCGTCCATCAGAATTTGCCACGCATTAACTTGAAATTTCATCCGTTGTCGAGCAGCGCGCCTAACTCGCTGGAGATAGGCAACCAGCTGTGCACCTGTGCGTCTTCTCCAACAGGTTGCCTATCTAGTAGGCTGACTTGCTCTTCGGGGGATTCCTTTCATATGCATGTGTGTGTGTGTGCGTGTGTGTGTGTGTGCGTGTGTGCGCTCTCCTGTCGGAGTCTCATTGCGCAAAGTCGAGTGCGCCGCTGCGCCGCGACACCATGCCAGGCGACGCAGTATGTGAGTGTGTGACAATCCCCGTGGACTCTCGCCGAGGTCGCACATGCACCTTGCCTTTATTCTCTCCCCTCTTCTCTCTCTCTCTCTCTCTCTCTCTCTCTCTCTCTCTCTGTCTCTCTGTCTCCCTCTCCCCTTCCCTCCTTGTCTTTGTCTCTGTCTCGCTCGCTCCCTCTTCACCCGCCCCACCTCCCCTGGCAGCAGGCGGGACAAGGACAGCCAGGGACCAGGCTAGCGCCGCTAGGGCGGCTGCAGGCGCGGAGCCAGCTCGCTCAGCCTAGCTTAGCTCCGCGTCTGCTCCTGCTCTGGATCCTGGACCCACTAGCTGAAGGGTTTCCTTCGCTGCCCGTGAGCCTCGAGTCCAGCCTCCCCCCCCCCCCCCCCCCCTTCTCTCTCTCTCTCTCTCCACCTGTCATCGCTTTAACGCGATGCAACCTCGATCGGAACAGGTTGTTTGCGTAACGTAAGGGCGAGGCGTGTAGGGCTCTTCAGTGGCCCCTGTGCGAAGGGAACGGGTGACGGGAAGGGGGGGGGGCGATGTTGAGCAGTAACTGATTCCGCTCGAGCCTTTCGTTTCGTACCTCCGTCCTTGTCGAACCCATGAGACACGACCATAAGATGCGGTGGTAGAGCGCTCTGCGGAATCAGAGAACGCCGACTCTAGCGGGAGCGGGTGATAATAAGGGTCGAAGACGCAAAGAGTTCAACATCCCGACCACGCCCGACGCTAAGCCCCCCCCCCCCCCCAAATCCCCACCGGCAGCAGCACTACCCTCTGCAACGGCCAACACGCAGCGCCACGCCGCACAAGGGAGTGGCGGCGCGAAGCGGCGAGTGGGGTGAAGGGCCGGAATGGCGGGAGCAGGCCAGGGGGGAGGTGGTGCACTGACCGAGGAGGGGGGAGGTTGCGGGCGTGGTCCTGTGTCTGTCTGGCGCGGTTGTGGGACAATCTTACGGCGAGGCGAGCGTAGAGTTGTCAGTTTCACAGTGAAGCAAGAGTGCAGTCCTTGACTAATTGAAGGTAGATTGACTTTTAGGGGTTGGGGATGTTCTGTGACTTCCTGGCGGTGCATCGCAGATGCATATTGATACAGGACTTTCCAAATATTTTTGGTAGACTGCTAACCTGGTTACTCCACTGCTTGAGTTTTGATTTAATTCCCCCATGAACCGTACCAGCTTCATAGAGATTAGATTAGTCATTAGACTAGAATAATTAAAATATATATTCTTCATTGTATTTAATTTTATGTTTCATTTTGTTGCAGTGTCGTCCCCAATGTCAATCGCACGAGTGGAAACCATGAGGATGTTGAACAAGAGTCAAAGCTTAAGCTTAAGCAGCATCAGCTCTCTTGACGATGCCCACATTTCATTCTCTGTCGCCAACTCAGCAAACTCAACTGCTTCTGTACAGGAGCCTGTTGTTTCAATTGAGGAATTGCGCTTACAGCTCAACTCATGCTTCACGTAAGTTTTATACTTATGTAAAATACACACTGTATCTGATACCAGAAAAAATCCAAATATAATAATTATATGACTATTTTATATTTTAGGTGCGGTGTAAGCTGGCATGAAGATCATGTTTCATTGGATTGTCAGGAGTGTGGAGGATATTCCTTAGAGCGACCATGCCCTCGTTGTGATGGCCGCTGTGGAGGTACTTGGAAGCGAGATTTAACCATGGTATGTTTTACACTCATATGCTAGTTCTGCTGCTAATTCGATTTTATCAGAACAGTTTTACTAAATTTATCTTCTTTCTATTCAGTCACATGCCTCTGGTAAGGCAAGATGGGAAGGAAAGTGCCTTCATTCAACATCCACACAGATGATAAAGAATTTGGTTTCAGAAGATGAGTCCCACCTATGTTCCAGGCTGGAGAAACTTACTGCAAGCTCATGACAAATTGATGTCTTGGCTAAGAAAGAGACTGAGTGTGAATGAAATGAGTGAATGGTTTGTTTGAATGAATGGTATTTCTGTTACTTATTGGTATGGATGTGTGTGATATGGAGAAATGGGGAACTGATAGAGCTATGAAGGGATCAATGATCTAGGAGTTCTCCTGGACTAGTCCTAAGTTTGCGGGGTAAATTGTTTTGTGACAGCTTTTACAAACACTTCAGCCACATCAAAGATGTTGTCTGATGTGTTCTGGTAATTAAATTGTCAGGGAAGTCCTAAATAATAATTTATGGCAATTATGATAGATAGAGAAATCAAAAATAACTTGTGTATCCTAAATTTTATTTTATGGACAGATTTCTTTGTTGACTTTCTGTTTGGAAAGGACTCTGGCAAAATCACTCATTTTTGAAAATGTTTATTTGACCTACCCACATCACCCTTTAACTTAAGTTATTCTTTTTCAATAAAAGGACTAGTCATTTCTAATGTGTGGTCCTCCTAAGATGTTGGCTTTTTATAGAAAAGCAGAAAATTAGAATTCTGGTGCGACCTCCCCACACCTTAAACCAACTAGGTAGTTAATCGTAGGTATGTATTTACTAGACTTATTTTATGTTCAAGTGTACCTGTGCAAATGTGGGGAGGATCTCAACCTTTTGCCCATTTTAATTTATTATTCATTGTCACCATGAGATATTGGATAGATGATGTTTTTTTGTATAAGAAAAAAGACACATCAATCACTAAGGCATTCTATTTAAAATATTGCTGATGAGTGAGCCAATATTGCCGTAAAATGAGCTAGAAACATCGAGCTTCAGCTCTAATTTTTTCTACTTTTTAAACTATATGTGAAATTAAGAGAATGTGCTGCTTACTGTACTTAAAAGTCAAGTATGTGATCTTTACTAAGAGTAAACTGATTAGAATAATTATTCTGTTTTTATTATTGTCACTCTATCCACTACCTTTGTGCTGATAAGTTAGGCCTTAATTGATGTAATTGTGTAGGTGCCTAAAATATTAAATCTATTACTTACAAAAACATTTGTCTAGAGAAATTTCTACCAACACCTCAAATTTATAACAAACACAATCTTTATTACACAAATACAGTGATAACAAAAACAAAGGGAATGAAATATATCAAAAATTTATCACAAAAGGATCTTTATGTCCCATCAGTCAGATGTATGTTTCCATACAGGTTTCTTTTTCTGTAAGAAACTACTAATTCCTTCTTGGGCATCAGCCATAGATATATTGCTGGTCATAACATTCTCTCCAAGCCTGCACAACAACAAGAAAAAATATCAGAGAACTGCCATAAAAGAATATGTGCCCAGGAATTTTCATTGTGGCTCCACAAACCTATAAGCTGAGTAAACATCTTTTTGGATTTGAGAGTACAAAAATTTCTTGCCAAGTGAAATGACTGCTCTGCTCTTCGATATTATAGATGTGGTAACTTTTGAAACTTCTTCATCTGAAAATAATAATTAATCAAAAAACAATAGAGGTCCCCTACACTGAACAGGTGACACCTGCCTTATATTGCTTACCAAGCTTGTCTTCTGATACTACTCTGCTTACAAGTCCATACTGAAGTGCTTGATGAGCAGAAATGGAATCACCAGTAAACAGCATGTCAGCAGCTACTTTGGCAGGGATGGTACGGACCAGAGCAACACCAGGTGTGGAACAAAATATGCCCACCTGAGCGCTAAAATAGAGCGACAAAGCACATACTAAAACAAATCAATCAACAACCTACACTTCATACCATATTTTTACGCGATATGTAATACATAAACTGACCCTGGTGTGGAAAAAAATGCTTTTTCAGAACAAATTGCTATGTCGCAGCCAGCAACCAGCTGGCAACCAGCAGCAGCTGCTAGACCATGAACAGATGCAATTACTGGTACAGGGCTTTGAAGAATACTCATCATCAACTTGGATGCTTCTTTAAAAACTGCTCTGTGAGTTTCCTTATCAGTGTCAGAAGTCTATCATTGACAGAACCAAAAATTGATAAGATCGTTGAACATAAATGAGCAAGTAGAATGAGATATTTCTTTCCCAGTCAAGGTTTTTTCTTGGGCCGAGGTAGGCCTATGATGGCAGTGTACAAGTAGATTACCTACCAGCTCTTTCAGGTTGTGGCCCGCAGAAAATAAGGGGCCTTCGGCTTTCAGTACAATAACTCTAAGTGCTACATTGTTTTCATCTTCTATTATATTGTTTGTCAGTTCCCGCATCATCTTCAAGGAAAGAGCATTCCTAGAGTGAGATTTAAAAAAATTGATACTAACTAATACTTGTAAATATGTGTATCATTTTAGAGTGAAAGAATTTCAATCATGGTTCGTGATCATACCGTGAGGGGCCTGACAAAGTTATTGTCCTTACACCATCCTTAAATGAAACTTTTGTTACACCATCTCCCAAGCTAACTGAAGATGAGCTAAATTTCTTTGGACATATTGGTGACAATTTTTGTAGAATCTGCAACTTTGAATGACAAGAGCAGTTAGATCAAGGATTAAAACAAAACTTTTGTAAGGTTAAGATTAGACCTCATATACTGCTAATCAGCAAAGAGTCAACAAATTACTGAAATAAGTAACAATGTACCTGTTTTATGGTTGACAACATTTTTGAACAACAGTGTCAAAGTAGCTATCAAATTCTAGAAATCTTCTTTATCAACTACTTTCTGAATATAGTCTGAGTGAGTATAATACCTCCAGAGTTCTATTCTGTGAATAATGAAGAATCATGAATCAGAACAAAGTTTGAATGAATGAAAAGGGGGAAGAAGGGAGAGATAAAAGATTTGGGTAATGTAGTAGCATTGAAAGAAATCAGAAATATTGGGATAAAAATAGGTACTATATTTTACAATATGCCCCGTATATTTTTGTAATTCACATATTAATGTAGTACAATCACCACTGCAGCTGGCTTCTTTCCTTCAGAGCATGTTACATAAGTTATTATTGGATATTATACAATAATGAAAGAAGCAACTGCTTGTGGTGGTAGCCATATTGATTTCACAAATGTTTAAACAAGTTTTGGGGCACTGAATATTTTTGTCTTTACAGTGATTTTCAATTATGTAGTTATAACTTTAAATGATCCAAATAACCAATGCTAGTCAGCAAAATAAATCAATACCAAATGTCAGAGGGCTACAAATGGTATTTAAATGTACATTTGAATAAATTTCACTGTGCATAAATATTAAACTGGATTGCAGCGGTTCTGTAAATTCAAAATCATGTTCAGTTCTATGCAGCTGCCTTAAGAGCAGATCAGAATTTCTAATAAACATGATTTCAGACAGTTGATAATAAGGTCATTAAAGTACCCATTGTAACTTACCATCAACTTGAATACATGAACTTCATTTCAAGCAGACAATACACAAATCACATCAAAATTATCTAAATGAAAGTATTACAATCCATTACAATCACTGCTGTGCCAATATCACAGATGTTCTGATAAATTTACTATACACACTGGTGTTCCACCAAACTTCCATCACAGACAATGCAAGCAGTAATTTATACTGGCTTGCAGCGTCTTACAAGTTAGAATGGAATGTTACTCTGATCCAAACAGTTTACCTAGTTTATGTGGAACAACTTCCACAAATTTTAAAAAAGGCTAATCTCACACCAGTACAAGTATGGCCACCAGTCAAAAATAACAAGTGCCAATCTATAGACAAATTTACATTTTCAGCTTAAAACTGTAATTAGTTCAGTAAGTTTTGAACCCATCTCTCAACTTCCTAAAACAAACCTAGAGAAGGCCTATACATCATCAGAAGTTATGCATATCATGACTTTAGGTGACAACCATTATCCCTAAAGGAAGCTGTTTGTGCTGAATCAAAAATTCATGTTGAAAAGTATGAACTTTTCCAGCGATTTAACAGAATGCTATTTCCCTAACATGAATAACATAACATGCAACACAAGTATTGCAATCAATCCAACACAAATCCTAAACCCACTGAAAGTAATTACCTGGGATGAAAAACAGAGCGCAGCTACCTAGTTTCAATTATCAGTGCCACAAGACCTCGGTGCAATGGCCTCTTTGGACTCAAATTACAATTTTGCTGCTCAGGTAAGATTGGAAAGTACTTCACACAAATCCTCACAAGACTGGTCTACTTCTTCCAGAAATCTAATTACTGTATCAAAAATAATGTAACTTTGGCAATGGCCCTGTAAAAGGTCAAATCTGGAAGGAAACCAACCTGTTGAGATGTGCTTAGGCCCTTTACAACTATGTAAGGTGAATGGATGCAAAAATACTGCAAATTTTGCAAGTTGGATCTGGCTACACTTTGTGATATCCCAGCTATTCTGTAAAAATCCAACTTCAGCTAACACATTACTGTAAAAAAAGTTACTCTGTTTCAGTTTTCAAAGAGAGCAAATCTTAACTGTGGTTTTCTGTTATGTTTAAAATATATTTGGTTTCAAATACTATAATTTAAAAAAAGGAGGAATTCTATCTCTGTCGTATTACCATTCCAAGGGAAATAAAAATTTAAGGTTTGAGAGAAGGGAATAAAAACTACCTAAACATGATAGATGTAGGTAAATCTGAAACAAAACCATGGTGGCCGGTATCTAGGCGGTATTTCACACTTTCTTCTTTCATCCTGACACAATGCATAGGTAAATACATCCAATAATCAATTTGCATGTAACCTACATGTAGAGACCATGTTGCAATCGTCAGAAATGGAATTAGGTACACCCTTTCAAAACTGTGTATCTAAATAGATTTTAGGTTTGGAATTTCTTAACCACTCTTCCACAATCTCCAAAATATGAATAGGTACAGCACTGACAGATGATTTAAGGATCAAATTTAAAAACAACAGAAAGTACTGGACAGAAACATAAATCCTTCCTTCATCCTTTAAGGAACCAGAATGAAAATAAAAATGAGCAATGCATACAGCAATGTCAATGCACCCTTCATAAATATTCTATTAAATCAAATCATAAGTAATATGAAAAGGCAAAGTATTCAAGCCGTACTGACAGTCAAAATACCACAAAAAAATATAGATATAAAAGAAAGTGTACTTAAAATAAAACAAAAGACTTTGGCATCTTTGTAAAGAATGGAAACTTAACATAAAGAATAATATAATAGCAACAGAAATATCTTGAGATATCATAACTGACACAAGTTTTATGAAACTTAAATATAACATTATTCAAACAACCTCAGAGTACTTCACACAAGAAAGATGTTGCCAAAGTATTGATTTCAAGTAAAATATGATGGGCAATAAGTTCATTGTATGAAGATATGAAAACAATAAGACACACAGTCAAACCCAAACAGTGTGGTACAAACTACCTACTCTCAAACCCACTGTGACTCTACACCTACCAAAAAGTTGACAAACATACAAGCGATGTGATTGGAAAACTAAAATCCAATTTAGCAAGAATTTGGTGGAAACTTATATGGAACACAATTTAACATGAATGAGAACTTGGCACTACTCTCCATGAACCAGGGTTGCTTCTGCATACACAAATTTAGAATTGACACTGCCTGCCCGGTAATTTAAATTTGATGCATGAAATACACTATAAACTGTGTTTCCAACTCGATGCGCAGAACTTTCAGTTACAGGTAATAAACTTTAGACATAAAAGATATCACCCACACATGATTGTGCAAACCCAACAAAAACCTAAAAGGCTGGCTATGGCACATATATAATGAAAAGCATTAAGCAATCTGAAACTTAAAACAAGCCAAAGTCTCTGAAATTTTTAATTAAAATAAAAGTAAGAAAAATTTGGCGTGCATTGGCAACACCCATAAATTTACTTAAAAGGAGACCCCAGGGGAAAGCTAATTTTGTGTTAATGAATGCAGACCTTTTACTCATATGCTGAAAACATTGTCAAATAGTTTTTTTCAAGGGTAACGATGTGGATGACAATACTGAATCATCAAAATTCGGTGGTCACCAAGCAGGGGCATTCGGCGATTCCATTTACTTAAAACTAAGAGGCAACAATGTTTTCGTTGTTTCTGTAAAACCAACACTTCACAACACAGAGAAAAAAACAACTACTAGAGAATATGTTCCTATTCCAAAGAAACGCCAAAAGATCTTTAAAACCAGTAGAAAGAAGAAAAAACTAGAGATACAACCACAAGTACTTAAAAAAACATTGATAGATAAAATTTCACTTGTCAAAATCACACAGGAACTTTAAATTTCACTGGGCACTGAGAGAGAGGTTACATCAACTTCTTTAAGATCACATGGTAATAAGTCTCTCAGGAACAGAAACACAGCAATGTATGTAATTAGACTGGTAATATACCCATGAAACATTAACCTTGAATGAAGCTACACAAAATTGTAAACCACTCTCTCCAGAAACATTCAACATAAAAATCATGAAATTCTTCAACCAGATCAGGATTGTTTCATAGTAAAATATTTGAAGTAACTTACTATATGGCAACTTTCCGTTGTTGCTTTGAATCACAACCCTTGTTTCATATGGATATTAAATGTTAATAATACCTCATGCAAGATTCCAAAAACTATACTTAACTGACTCAAAGATCAAAAGTTTTGGTGCCTGGCAACATACATATTAGCAATGATGAGACAAAATTAAAATTTTAATTTTGAGTTCAGAAAAATCGATTAAGCACTGCTGTAAGTAATTTGGTTCTTTCACATGACACATCTCAAGTTACAGCAGAAAAACGAAAAATGATTTCAATGAGCTGGTGGAGTACAGTGGAGGCAGTATCTAGGTGGAACGGTATTTCTACCGAACAGGACTACCTAAAAACATGCTCTTCACCAAGATTCTTCAAAGTTTCATGAGAAAAAGATCTGAGACTTGATAAAATAAAAAATAGCGGCCAAAAAATAAGCAAATACAGGAATAATAAAATGCCTCCTTACAAGAATGCGCTTCAATCTATATAAAACATTGTGCTAAAAGCTTTGCATGTAAAGAGGCATTAGAAATCACTCACACACACAGTCAGACACACCATACACAAACAGACATGCTCAAGTAAAATACTGGAACATTTAAGCCAGCAAAAACTTGAACAATGAACTAGGAATGCATTCAGTCTTCCTTTCACAAACTTGTTTTCTTTTCATGTCATGGTTGTTTTCTAAGATAAGTAGCACTTCCCTTGTAACAATACGCCATGGTCCATTTACAGGAAATATCTTAAACCTAAATAAATTGTACTGTAACTGCAGCAGGAACGTAAATTGACATGGATTCTTCAAGGCAATGCAGACATCTTATTTGTGAATGAGTCAGCCTTTTTCTTATCCTCATTTGTAAATTTGCTTGTCACACGTCTTGAGCACTTCTTGCTCTCCCTCACTTTGATCTGAAAGAAAACAAAAAGAGGAAATTATAGGGAGTATTGCACAAGAAAATAGATGATATAATGATTTTCCAGTTGATATAATGCACATACAGTATTAATAGAGCACAAATTAAGCCATGATTAGGAAAACAGTCTTTTAAAGATAGACACAGGTTTTACTAAGATTGGGTTAAATTATTAATTCAGTTTAGTGGCAAGTGTACAGTTGTAAATCAGTCCACCCACATCATAAGGAAAAAGCACATGCATCAAAATGAATCAATTGGTAAGCAAACTTACTACTTTAAAGCTAGTGTTTCTTTGAGGAAGCGCATGACATGGCTGCCAATATCACGGACTTCAGGCCATTGCTTTAGAACCACAACAATGCTGGCAATTAGAATAACTGTTGTTAGCACTCGCAACCTGCAAGAAACATAACATGCTAGTTACAGTGTCAATTGAAGCTGATGTCCTATTAGTAAGGTGATAAGATGGATGAACAACATTAAACCATGATAGGCATGTACTTTATATGTTTGCAGCAGTGACTGGGATAAAATTGCAATCAAGAACAGTGTTTCCAGATCCACTCACTAACCTGGTGCGGAGGAAAGGCATTATGATGCCAGCAGCAGTGGCAACAATCAATAACACAACTTGCAGGACTGTTAATACAACATTGATGAGCTTCACTACCAAAGCTCTGGCATTGGAATTGTCAATGCCTTCTAAAGTGACATATTGCTGATGTTGTAGTTGCTGGTGTTCCATCTTAGAAATCTAGAAGAGTGAATGACAACAATAATGAATAAAACAGACAAACGTGCCAAGTTGTAAAAACACCACATTTCAGGACTTTGCAAATTACCTTTGTCTGACAGCTCTCCAGCATGTCATGGATATCTCTGAGTCTTTCCTCACTTTGGTACTGAACTTTTTCTTCCATGTCTGTCATTGTTTGTTTCAAGTTTTCCACCTCATTCTGGTGAAGTTCAGTAAGATCATTTACCTGCTCTTCTAATCGCTCAGTTCGAAACCGTTCTTCCTGCAGTAGGTGGTTTAGCTCAACTATCTCTCGTTGTAATACTTCCTAAAAAATGCAGACATGATTGCAACAATGTTAAAATAAGTTTTCACTTTCTTTTAGAGAGGCTATAAAATGTTTTGCCACTTACTTTGTTATCATCTAATTTTCTACGCAGTCTGTCAAACTCTTCTCTTTGTTCTCTCAACTCGGTTAAAAGGACCTCAATTGAGCAGTTGGTTGGACTGAGGTGTGAAGTGTGATGTGGAGGATGAGATGAAGTATGAGGATGGCCAGAATGTGGAATACTCTCACTTGTTACAGAGCTGCATTCTGATCCCTCATCAGAAGTAAACTTGACACCAGTAGCACTAACACTACCTCCCCCTCCCCCTCCAGTACCACTTCCACCTGAGTTCAAACTGCAACCTCCTGGAAGTGTTGCGCTGCCATGGTGTACACGTTCTTCCTCTCCACTGTTGTTGTCACCATTTCCTTTACATACAAGCAGAGATAGTTAATTGAAATTAACCTCAGTATTAGATTAGATTAGTAAAACTGGGTTTGTGTTACATACTTGACAGTTGGTTTATGTTGTCTGCACTACCAAACCGATTTTTTAAGAGGTGGGCAAATTCCCTTGGCTTTGACATTACACTTCTAGAAAGAAAAAAAAAGGAATGGTAAAACAAAAAGGGAAAAAATACAGATTGACAAAAAAATAATTTTTAAAGTTGCGCATAATTCAACATATTTCAACATTAATAATGTTGTCCTATAAATTTGAATTATAGTGCCTTGCAAAATAAAATTCAAAATAACAAGAGGATATCACTCTTATAAACAACCATTAACATCATCTTATAAGTCAGTTAAGGAATAATTCCAAATAAAATAGGCAAGCAAACTTACTCTGCCGCACCATGTAGGCCTCCCTTGATGTTCTCAACCACACCACTGTCACAAAGAGGGGTAAAATGCAGTAAGCACAAGACAAATGAAAGCAAATAAATGCATTATTCTCAAGCAGGCCAAGCATGCCATGTCATAAGGGAACGCTTGCAGAAATTATAGAATAATCATATTTCCAGCACCCACCCCTTTCAACTAGCACAATCATTTTCACAAGCACACCATCACATTTCCAATTTTCTGATAGGTAAGACAAGACATTGAATTTGAGATGGCAACTTTACCCAAGATCTAAAACTTACCCAGAAAATCCTGTGATGCCATCCCGAATGTTACCTCCAACATTTCTGAAATATGCATAAGTGTTTAACGGTTGGTATTGTGGAAGAAATCATTTTTATATTTTAGAATGTTACGTTGGTCTTACTTTAATCCTTGACTCATATCACGTAGCATTTCCCTAGGTTGTCTATGTCCAGAACTAGCTCCATTGAGTTCTAAGTCCCGAAGTTTTTTCTGGTAGCTATCTAATTTCTTTTGCAGCTGTGATATAATTTGGGCTGACTTTTGATTTTTCTTTTCAAACACTGCCTTGATTCTAGTCAACTGTTGTTTATCTGCATTTGATGCTAGTTTAAGGTATTCATTAACATTTTCTGGAAAAGTAGGTTGACAGATTAGTAAACTTTGTTGGCTGATTTGGTCATTTAAGTCAAATTTTTCAATTTCTGCCTACCATCTCTAGCTGTTTGCTCTACGCGTATCTGGTCTTTTGTTCTTGCTATCTTGGTCTGCATATGTTCAATAGCAGTACGAGTGCGGGTACCCTCACTAGTGCTATCCGCTTCATCTACTGTGGTTGACATAAGCTCTGTTGAGCCATTTGATAGAATTGAAGTTGATGCCAGGTACTGAGAGTCCTGCACAAAAGAAAGGAAAATAATTTTCATGATTTCAACTTAGCTCAGGCAATTTAAGAGAATAGAGTAAATTGAATTAACAAACCTCTTCCTCAACATGCATTCCAATAATTGATGGCGATACAACAACATCTTCCTCTGAAACTTGGGCTGAAACAGGGTCTGGTCGTGGCAAATGTGGTGTGCCCATGTCTGCTGCATTCGGAGGGTCCCTCCGAGTAGGAACAGGTGATCGTCGACGACTCATAGTGTGGGTTGCAGCAGATTGACCTCCAACACTAATCGTAGCAGATGAAGGAAATCCACTGGCACTTCCTGCTCCCTCTGATGGTCGCAACCTGAGCAAAGAGCCCGCTGTCACTGTCACCTAGTGCCCAGGGACCAGCAAGGTGCAGCAAATATAATGAGTGCCATTCAAAATTTAAATTATGTATACAACTACTTCCTCTAAAGTTTCTTAACACTAAAATTATTTTATAGTGACAAGCACAGTGCATGAAGCATGAAAGTGCACTACTAATAATTGATAAAAAAGAGTCAAGTCACATACACGTCTTTGAGAATTCTTAAATTATGTAAAGAAAGTTGAATTTAGATACAAATGCATCCTTTATCAGAAGTCAGTAGCCTGCAATTTGCTTATAGATCATTCAAATATTTCCAAAAAACTATACTATAGAATAGAAGTTCCAAATTTCCAACAAATATATGTGTTGCCAGCAAAACAGTATTGAAAGAAATGCCTGAAAACTACGATGCTAACTGGGAAAATAGCTTAGAAGCTTCTAACAATAAGTCAAAGGTTTGATGACAAAAATTTTAAACATTGATGTCTTACAATGCAATGCACTGCTACATTAACACCTTAGAGGTACACACAGACTATCAGACTTACGAGCTTGCATTCCCGTGTTTGGATGTGGCACCTGTAGCTGAGCTACTTGTATGACTTATTGTGACAGCAGCCTTGCTGTGGGGAGGGCATGGAGAGGTTGAGCGACTAGATGATTTGCTGCTTCCAGTTCCAGACTGAGATATATGCAGACTATCCATCACTCAAAATTTCATCCATATCAGCTGCAGACAAATGGAAAATTTAGAAGTATGCCAAAGAACCTGTAAAGACTCGCAGTGATTAGATGAAAATATCACAGTGGCATTCTACTGGCATAGGATGATAGATATAAAGACCAATAATAAACTAAAAATAAAATTCAACACAGAACTTGACATTTACACAAAAGTTTAGGGAGTGCTCACATTCTGCATTTCAACATGACGCTAGCAAGAAAGTTAAAAGGATAGCTTGTGGCCATATGAATGATGCAGATAGGCAAGGAGAGGAGTAGGGAAATATAACTCTGTAAAACAACAAACTTACACTGGAAATTATGTTTGTTTAGACGGGTCTAAACTTGGAAAGGTAAGGTTAGGAAAGAGCATTATCTACATCTAAATTTGATGCCGTTCGATACATAGACTAGAGTAAAAGAAAGAAAGCATACCAACGAGATTTTGGATTGGACTCATGACGAAGATACACTGATCAAAGAGTATACATTTAAAGAAAATTTGGATAAAGACATGAATGAATCAGCTAGGAGAAGTCCTTGATCACTTACGTTTCACCAAATTTTGATGGACTTAAGGACCGAGAGGTTGACTGCCAATGGAGTCCACAGAAAAAGACTCAATTTTTTCAAAATAGTTGTATTGACAGCAAATATCAGCAGACAAAATTTACTCTCATTCTCAGTCGTTAAGCAGAAGCCCAATCTGGGTGGGCTGCCAAGAGAATCTCAACAAGGAACACCACACACTTACACTGACTCACGAAGTGCTCCGAACTGGACCCGAATGCAACCGAAGTCGAAGTAGAGCCGACTGACACACGGGGGTAGGGAAGGGGGAGGGGATGGGGGAGGGAGAGGGGGATGCTAGCGGCAAGGAAGTTATAGAATGGGATTCATTCAATGGCTGACATTATTTATTTTTGTTGTTATTTTCATCCATTTGTTTGTTATTGTGCAGTCATCTTCTCTCGTGGCACGGTTTCGTCGTTTTGCCCCGTGCTACACCGCATTCTTCGCGCTAGGGGTGGGTAGGGTACTAGGTAGGGTGGGCGGGGCTGGAAGCGGTAAAAA